AAGACCCAGGAGTTGTTAGGGGTAAGAAGCAGTGTGCAAAGTGGGCCCTGCAGTCTCTCCCTCAGATTAGATCCCAGGCTTATATGATGCCTGATGGTCTGCAAGTTAAAATCCAAAGTCCTCCACTTTGTCATCAATCAAGCCCCAAGCTATATTTCCAACTGTATTTCTCTCTATTGCTACACAACACTTCCCGGACCCCTGCCTCACCTTGGGCGGGCACAACAGGTTTATTTTATATTCCTTAGGGTGTCAGACAAGGCCCTCCCTAATACAGGACCAATATATCTCCGCAGCCTTGTTTCCTGGTAAGGGCTGCCATACTTGCCTCCGTTCACACTAAAGTTCGTACCTTCCCTAAACGCCTATGGTTTCTCACGCTTCCACGCCTTTGCACAAACTGTTCCCTTTGCCCGGAATATCTGCCTGACTTGTCTGCCTGGTGAGCTCTCCTCCCACCCCCGCTGCCTCATGAACTCCTTATCCATGCTTCAGGATCAGTTCAGAAAACCAGCCCCCAGTGCTTCAAGGGACTTGAGTTTTGTCTCCTGGTGCCGCTGTCTTGGCAGGACTGCTAGACTCCAGGGATTAGGAAAAGAGTGATCTGGGCATGGAGTTTTTCTCACAGTTCCGTGCATGCTTTAAACCACTTTCTTTTGGGTGAGGATGAGCAGGGCACAGAGAAGAAAGCTCTTGCTCTCTGAACACCAAAAGCTGTTTTGCTGCATTTCTCCCAAGTTCTCCCTCCCTCCCACACTTGGAGCAACTAAGGCCCTGAAAAATGTCAGGACTGCATATGATTTTACACCTACTTGTGCTGCTTGCATATTTCTTCCTTGATCAATGTTACCTGGCCATGTATCTTTCTCCTTGAGGGCAAATGCTCTGTTTATTTCATCCCATCTTTGTATGTCCACCATTTGGCTGATTCTTATTAGGTGTTTAGAAGATTTCTGTGGAAAGAGTGAATAAAGAGATGTTTGCAGATTGAATGTAAATAATCATGTTGCCCGCCCTTTGTTGCTCTGAGGGTCAAATGAGAGGAAAAAAAGAAACTTAGTTCCTTCCCTTCTTTCTACATACTTCTACAGATCCTCACACCTAGGGTGGGCCATCTTATGTCCATGTTTTTATTACAGCATTTTCCTTTCCTCTGGGTGCAGAAACCTCCATTGTGAAATGATTGCCTGGGACCATTTGAACCTCAATATCCACTCTGAGCCTATGTCTTCTCCCCACTTCAGTTCACAGGAATCTTTTCCTCCCTTTAGCTTCCAGGTACATAAGGTGAGGAAAGGCTTTCCAGGTACATAGAATAGCATAAAAAGAGGCTGGGGTCCTTCTGTGATTTTATCCTGGGGGAAGCCAGGAGGTAGACGACAGTCCAACTGGTTTCTGTGGATGTTACTCTCATACCTTACCTGGTTATTAAATGGTCTCTTACCTTTGTGTTTTATTGTTACAGCACTAAAAATTACGACCAACGATATGATTACAATTTTTAAGTACAGATTAAAAAATTTATTGATTTGTATTTTTAGCTATAGAAAAATTATTCCTAATAACATTACTACAATATTTGTGTCCATAAAACATTGTAAACAACAAATGCAATAACAAAATGCCTATAAAACTATAAATGTTCTTTTCTGGAAAAGGAATTTTTTTATTTCTTTTAGGATGAGAGCTGGCTTCTTCATCGGTGATTGGTATGAGTTCTACACAGCTACTGCTGTGAGCATGAAAGCCCAGCACAGATTTCTGAGCAAGAAAAGGTCATTCATTCAATGTTTATTAGGTCCACCAAGGCCTGGTGCTGGGCTGGAGAGACTAGGGTAACAAAATTCCATACTTGAGAAGCTCACAGTTTATTTAGTGTGAAGGACAGATACGCGAACAAGTAAATAGAACAAGGTAAGAGCTAGACAGGAATCATTTATAGTGAGAAGTGGGAGCCTGGGATGGGAAATAAACAAGGCTGTCAAAAGGAGCAGGATTTGAAGCTGGACCCAAACAAACTAAGACATCCACTGAAGAAGGATCACTTGAGCACCTGTTGGGTGGGTGACTGGGAGAGAGAAGAAACTGGCCAGGGGTACCATTCAGGAGATTGTTGTAAGAGTTATGATGATAAAGGAGCCTAAAATAGGGCTGATGCTATGGAGACTGGAGGAGAGAAATGGATGAAATATTGGAGGCAAAATTACCTGCCCTCAAGTAATTGTTAGAAAGGGCAGAGGGATAGTCAAGAGTACTTGGCTTCCCTGCAAGGGAAGATGGAGTCAAGAGTAATTCCCAAGTTGGGGATTTGGGTATCAGGTGGAAGAAAAGGGTGGGGTACCAAGATGAAGTCTGGAACCTTTAGTGCCCGCTCCCAACAGGCCCCCTTCTTTCATATGAACAGTTGACATTTTCTCAATGTTTCGTCCATTTCTAAGCAAACTCATCTTCAGAACCCCTTTCCAATGGGATTATCATGCCAAAACCCCTCCTACATCCTTTGGAATCAGGATCATCACTCTGTGTTTGTGTGTGTGTGTGTGTGTGTGTTTCTGTGAGAAGGGAAGCCCGAGGCCCCTAAGAGATAATGACTGGACAATATAAGGACAAAGGGAAAAGTTGTGGTTGGATGCAGAATATCTTTAGATTTGGAATTGTAAATAAGATTAGGTTCCAGAAATACTTACATTTGGAGTTACGACTTAGACTTTGTTATAGGGACTTAATTATTCAATAAATATTGAGCACTTAATCTGTGTCAGATTGTTTTTTCCCCATTAGGGATACCTCAGAGAACAAGAGAGAACAGGTCCCTGTCACCATAGAGTGGAGGAGACAGACAGTAAACACATTTCAGCTAGGGATAAGTACCGTGAAGAAAAATAAAGCAAAACAAGGGATTAGAGTGGTGGGAAAGGCCGGGGAGCCGACAGGATGGGGGCGCTGTCTCAGGTAGGGTGTTCAGGAAAGCCCTCTTTGACAAGGTGGTATCTGAGCAGACACCTGAAGTAAAGTGGTAAAGACTTGTCATCCATGAGATGGTGTGTGTGTGGTGGGGGCAGTAGGAGCAACACACTGAAAATGTTAAATTTGAGATGTCTATTTAGACATCGAAGTGGAGATGTTGAGAAGGGAGAATCTGAATGTACAAGCCTGGAGTACAGGGAGAGGTCTGAGGCGCAGATAGGAATTTGGGAGCTGTCAGTCCAGTTGCTTGTTGCATTTCGATTGACTTTTATCAGAGCTCACCGTGTGCCACGTACTACGCTACGGGCTGGGGACACAGAGATGAATAAAGCGGTACTGCACAGACATGTACCAGGCAAAGTGGTACATCCTAAGTCTCGCTGTAATCCGGGCGCTCTCTGTGAGCACGAGAGGCAGCGAGTTGGAGCGGGAGAGGGAGAGGATCAGGAGGACGAAACCGCGGAGCCGAGGCCGCGAGGCGGGGAGCGCGACGCACAGGGCACATCACAAAGACCGCGTCGTGAGGCCCGCCACGCCGGGCGCGGGGCTGGGAGGACCCGCCCACAGAGGGCCTGGAGGCGGGGCGGCTCTCCCACCGTGAGCGCGCAGCGCCCTCTGCAGGCCTCAGGCGGCGACACACCGGTAGCCTTAGCTTTCCTCTCCTCCTTTTTCCTGCCTACCTCAGGCCACGCTTTTCGGTTGTTGTAGCTGTTTCCGACTCTTTCTAAGCCTCCAACTTCCGTCCCTTAGCCCTCCTCTTCGAGGCCAGGCTTGTCAGTGTCTTCGCACAAAGACTGCCAATAAAGTTTTTCCTCTTCTCGCCCTCAGGCTCCCCGCCTCGTCCCAAGTACCGCGAGATCCGGCGGCGCGGCTACCATGGCGGCGGCGTTTGAAGCCCCAGCGGCCTTAGCGACGGTGGAGACCGCTGTCCCGGCGGAGCGTGTGGCTGCGGACTTCTCGACCCCCGAGCCAGTCCCCCGGCCGGTGCGGAGCCTGCGGACGGCTCACGACGTCGGCGGCCCGCGGACCCGCAC